GGAAGGCCCCCCCCCCCCGCGGGATTCCGCCAACAAAAAAACCCCCACAGAATTTATTAGTTGGTTATATAAATTAAGTTTATTTCGGCATTCAACAAGAGACAAAGCCCTCAATAAAAGTTAAGTCACTTTTCGACATACACATAATGGTATGTCTCCTACAGAACATCATCATCATCCATTGCTTTTTTCTCGGGGGGGAAGAAGAGATAAATAAAGAGCTTACGTTTATCCCAAACTCCTTTTCTCCTAATTAGCTGCAGATACAAAGGTTTATCGCTAAGGATAGAGTGCTTATCTCTCCAAAGAAAAACTAAGCAAATGCACTGTTGCTCTTCCACAATTCCCGAATAAAGAATAGCTCGGAGTTCCCTCCCTCCCCACATCACAGCTCTAAAACCAACCAAAAAAACCCCTGAAGAACTGAGAAACAGATTAACATGCAAATGTGTTAAGAAAGGACCGTTTTTAAAGCAGCGATGCAATCCAAGGAGTGACTGCATTCAGCAGACCTTTAAGGAGAAAGGAAAACTAGCAAACAAGGAGTCGCAGGATGCCTCCAGACAATAGGTTATTGAAAATGCCTGGTACAAGAACGCATCGTCTTAACATTTTTAGTGGTGAAAAGCAGTCAGACCTTCAGTGACGCAGGAACGGCTGCGCTAACCCCTCCAGAGGTCCTGCCTACGCAACCACACCGAGCTAACACGTCCTGCGACCCCCATCTTCCAGCCTGTATTCATCTCAGTAACTCTTGCAACTTCTACACTAAACGGAGAGACATGGTCTGCCTTTCAGACAAACCATTAAAGCATCAGTAAAAGGAGAAAAAAAAAATTTCAAAAGCCCTGCTTCATAAGCAATCTTTAATGTCAAATAATAATAATAAAAAAAAAAAGACAAAAAAAACCAAGCTAAGGAGAGACGTCCCGAGCCCAAAAGCTCAAAACACATGTCCCCTCCTAACCTGGGATTGTTCACATTTGCTAGCTGCTTCAAAAAACAACTCAAATGTCTCTTCTAGACTTTGAACATGGGGTTGTCTTGCACTAACAACCTCTGCAGTAAACTGAATTACAACATACGACCACAAGTAGGAGGGAAAAAAAAAAACCACAAACCAGAAACACCATCAGATATAGAGAAAACTTATTCTAAGTCCTCACGCTTATGAAAAATATTTGAACCTGGCATTCAGAAGTTTCATTTGCTGTTTAACCATGCCATGGGAATCATCTGATGTTTGTGCAGACAACTGAAACCCCTCCCACAGTCTCAATCAGTTTAGTGATTAAAAAAATAACATTTCTTCTGCATGTTTTAAGGGTAGAGGAAAGAACTGCAGAAGAAAGATTTTTTCTGGAGTCTATTACACCATCTGGTGCTATCTAAAGTCACAAATCCAAATCTACAATAACCTTACAGAAAGCTGCGGTATGCAAGATCAGGGTACGTTACTGTAGGGCACTGAATATTGAAATGGCCATTTCGCATCACCCGCAAGAAACTTTCCCAAGTCAATACACAATGTTCTTTCTGTTTCATATACATAAAATAAAATATTTAGCAAGAAGGTCATAAATTGTCCTTTAGCATTCATCTTTACAAGTCTATTTTATCATCAGGAAGCAAAAAAAAAAAGTGATCTTTGCATTTTATTAAGTAAACACCCCTGAGTAAAGAGGCTGATATCCACTGTCTTCTCTCTTGCAAGTAAGCACGCAGACACTCAGCATGCCAAAGAACTGAAAAAAAAAGAGAGAGAGAGAGAGATTTAGTTCTGCTGTATTTTGTTTCAGTCATCAGACCCAACACTTGTATGTTCATTAGACTTTTTCATCATAGTAAGGACATTCTTTTCGTATTAAGAAACACTGAGAAAATACATCTACAGAAAGGGATTTTGTGGCATATCAATTTCCAATAATAGTTCCAGCTCAACTTTTTCCTCCCTGGTTTCTCCCATTAATTCACAAATCCACATTTATTCCTAGTTATCTCACTGTGGGAAAAATTTCAGTGAAAGCATGGGATTATTCTGGACTTAAAGCGAGTTCTGTAAAATATTTAAGCATATAAAATACGCAAATAAAGGCAATCTTTAGAGATGATCACAGGAGAGATCCTGGCGGGAGGGTTCATCACAAATAGTAACGGGACATGTAATGGAGTGTAGAACTCATCACTTTTATAGAGGGAAGGGAAGTGATGGAAACGACGTCGCTGAGCCATTTAAGCCCATGAGAACAAATGCTGTAAACAATCACCTCTCTGCTAGGGCCAAAATTAGGAAAAGGAAAGTTTAACTAAATCAAGCCCCAGTCCTGAGATGACATCTGGATAGATTTTGGCTTCTGCATTGAGTTCAGGAGTGGGATGTTAAACGGTAAGTGTTCTGCACTGGCTCACCTTACAGCCACTCTTTATTATAGAGAGCAGATATTCAAAGAAAAAACACTTTGCTGTTGTTAAATGGTTCAAATCTCTGTCAACAAGGAACAAGTTACTAATCTTGGAGAACAGGTACGGGGAACAATGACAAACCACCAGGCTAAAATTTATGGGTCAAATCTTCGAAGAAATGCCTACACAACTTTGTGATGTGCCAATTGCGCGGAGTTTTACGTCAGGGCGTTTCAAATCTAGTTTTCACCCACAAGATGATCTGGTTTCACATTTCATTTAATTCAATCTCATAAGTCTATAAATAGCCCTGCTGGTTTCATTCCTAGTCATATTTCTAGTCCATTTTAATTCCAGGTCTCTAAGCACAGGACTATTCATTGGGTTATATCTAAAAAACAAACTTCCATGAGCAATTTTTTAAATCCCAGTTAAATATACCAAAGCTGGTTGTTTTAATAAAGAATTCTAGATCTAGGCCTTTTAAGCACACCCAGCTTTTTGTACTTCCTACCAAATGACCAAGATGGATTCTCTGTTGACTTGCCATCCCAAATCCCCTACTAGCATTTTGCATCCCTCCCCTTATCATCATGCAGATGAAATCGAGAAAGTTGGAAGAAAACAAGCGAGGAACAGAGGACTGGGTCTACTTCAGAGCCAGGAAAAGGCTGTAGGCTAGTAGGACACGGTAGAAGAAAAAGCCCCGGGATCAAAGGATAAACAGTATTATTTTCCATGAGGGAAGAGATAAAACATTTACCTTTACAATGGCAAACCCCAGGATTACAAGCATGGCATAGCTGATAACGCTCTGCAGCCCGGACTCCAGCTCTTCTGCGCAGCCCTGCCATGAAAGATATGGGTGAAAACAAATCAAAAGATGTAATTCAGCTGGATGTTTTTTGGGTTTTTTTTCCTCCCCGACACTTAAAAGGAAGCAGGACGTTGTAGGGCCTGTCTAACCAACCACTGCACTGAGGGCTTCCATTCTTGTCTTCCAGACCCGATGGCTTGCTGTTCACCTCTTGCCTGGGGAGAGGCACTGACATTTGCTGCTTCTCAGAATCTCCTCTGGCTCAGGTCACTTAAAGAAGTGCCCAAAACTCAGGGCCAGGCAGACCAGCAGTGGTATCTATAAAAGGCAAGTTATGGGCTTGCGCCCCAGACTGAAGAACCTGGTATGCAATTCTCCAGATTCATGGTCAATCCTAGAAGAGTCTCTTCCCCTACCCCAGATCTGTTTGAACAACTACGTGCCCACAGCTAGTGCTCTAGCCTTGTCGTGTTGCTTCTGTAGTAACACGAAATGGAGGACTGTAACCAGCAGACAGACAAGGCCAAACATCCAGACTGGTGCCCCTCCTTCATCATCTAGGAGCTTTTATAGAATAATATGAGAAGGAAGTTAACTAGAGGACAACTATGAGGAGAAAGGGGCTTGGGGGACAGATTGCTGAAAAGAATTGGATGAAG